AAACAGTCTATAAGAAAAGTTTCAAGGATGCCGACATATGATAGCAGTGGCTCCAATAACAATGTTAGCTCCAATAGTCAATATAAACCGAAAACTCAAAGGCAAGTTAAAACTCAATTTTCTACTAGAGCATCGTCACGTAATATCGGGAGACTTCCTAAATCCTTAATTAATAGAAAACAATCAGATAATAGATCACAGTTAAATTTAGAAGAATGGAAGCGAAAACTACAATCAGTTTATGGGCACACATCAAATTTAAATGCGGTAAAATTACCAAAATCTAAAAATAATTCTAATATAACACGTCCTAAAACATCAAATAAACAGTCTCAAATTTTAAATAATAACACTGAATACATACCATACTCGCAATTGACATTAGGTGGTGTTAGAGTAAGTGATATTGAGAAGGAATTGTCTGACATACCTAATAAGCATGACGTTGCTATAAGTCCAATACTAGACCGAATCTTAAAAAGTCGTGAAAATTCTTTTCATAAAGACATGCCCCAAAAAAACAAACAAAAAGATAATGAAAACATACTTTCGACTTCTGATGAAAATTTACTTCAAGAAGTAATTGACATTGAGAAAACTATTAATAAAACATTGTCAAAAACTGCACAAAATACACAACCAACATCAACAAATATTTCAATTACAAGTAATGATCAAAACGAAGATAGTTATGCCGATGATTTTGAAGATGATAAATCCGGGCACACAGATCATTCCAAGGAAGGTAAGAGTAACAAATCACCATTTGATTCTATTATGTCAAGTTCTGATCAGAACTTAATGAATTCTTATAAATCAAAAAATGCTTCGGAAAGTGAAAAGAAAATCCCAATGAGACTTTCATAAAAACATCAAATTTATCAATTAAAAACAAAATAGATGTCTTCGAATTTATACATTTAGTTGACACACAAGATACTGCGACCCAAAGCACTACTTCGCAAAAAATATCTTTAAAAGAAACTCAAACATCTCCAAGAAATGAAACATTCAATATTCAACCAATACATAACGACTTGTGGCCAACACTCGATCCTAAAGGTGAACTTGAAAAAATGCTAATATTAGAAAAAGATTTTATTAAACAGCTCATAATTGATGAGTATGGTGATTTTTTGGAGAATTTTAATAAGCCTTCTACATCTCGGAATAATAACATGGAAGATAATCAAAATAATATAGTTGCATTTCAAAAAAATACACAAACCTCACCTGTACATGTAAAATGTGTAATGACCTCTCCAACTAAAGTAAAAACTAGAACTACATCACCTTTTAAATTATTGTTGTCAGTAGATCAACATACCAGCCCTATGACATGTGTATCAAGCAAAGAAGAACTACAGTTAGAGATTGAAAATGAAGATGACCTTGGAATATCTATTAATTTATCCTCGCCTAGATTTAATTTGCGTTTACCACAAAATTCTCAGGAAATACTTTCAAATCTAGAAAATTGTAATCAAAATGTATCCAAGATATACCAAAAAGAAGAAAATTTTCAAGGAACTAAGACGTTTAGAAAGTTTACAATTTCTACTAGTACCAGTTCTCTAGATGGAGATAACTCTTCCTCAGAAATTAGCAGTTTAGGTGAAGTCAAATTAAAGAAAAAGCTAAGAAGAAATAGAGTTGAATCCACTTCAGATACAAGTTCAGCATCAATAGTTTCCAAATATAGTTCAGATTTACAATCTCTCGGCATTCTGCCTTTGAAGAGTGAAGGAGAAATTAGTGCTGGACAAGTTACAAAACATAATTCACAAAAAACAAAGTGTAGAGGGAGTATTGGTGAAACCAGTGTTGATGGATTACAGTAGAATTTATTTCCGTGCTTTTATATATTCTATAGAGAACATTGTTTAAAATTTTGGTAACATTCCTTGTGTGCCTTGAAGTGTTTAGTAATAATGTTGTTTGTTTGCCAAATCAAGTGTATATTTGCCTCTACTGTTATTTCTTACCTCAAGTACAAATCAGTTATCGCAATAAATTTGTGATATTTTTATGTAATGTTATATTTTAAGTCTAACATAATGTATGTTATTTTATACTTTTAGTAGACTTAAGCCTATTTTTGCACTGACATAAATTTTAGAGTGTTTATAAGTGTTTTATTATTGTATTCACCTGTAATAGTAAAAACAAAATTTTTTTTATAATTTAATACCTACAAATATAAATATTTTGTAGGCCTTATTACATTTAAATTTAAATTAAATATTAATATAAAAGAAGGGTGTCAAATGGTAGCTAAATTGCAGGATAAGAGACATGATGTGCTCTGGAATGGCAACGCAAGAGCAGTATCATGGGCATCGCATGGGCTAACCTGTATAATCTATACAATCAATTTGAGAGTTGAAAATTTTATGTTTGATAGTACCTGTTTTTGTTAGTCTAACTACTCCATAAAATTAATGTGCGGAAAGTCATATTATTTGAGATATTAATTTTTAGAATTTTAATTGAAATTGTATCTACCAAAATCTGTTAGATATACATATTGCGAAATGCATCCTAACCTTTAAATTTTCATAATAAAATTACAACATACAATTATCATATTAAAAAAACTTAGGAATCGCAAGCACCCATCGAGGGGGGGGGGCGTACCTACCCCTCCCCGCCGCCGAAATCGATTGTATATGCTGTACAGTCCTTCCATTGCATGCTAATGTGCTTGTCCTTAGTGCTGTTTAGTATATATAGACAATATTACCATTTGCCTACAGGTGAGCCGACAGGTTATTTTCCATTTTATGCACATAAAAAAAATAGGCTGCAATTAGTATGAAACCTGTATAAGCTATCACTGAACATACTTACAAGTCACGTACGTTAGCAGTGTTTCCTCTTCTGTGTCTAACTTCTCTTCGGTATATATATATATATACAGAATTAGATAAGTCCAGTATAAAAAATTGTGGTCTAGTTCAGATTGATTATGTGCTACGAAACTACGAACGGTACAGCATCTAGGAATAACAGACGTTTAGAAAAAGTATTTTATACCAGTTTTGTTTCGTGTCTATTTACTTTATTTTATTTAGATAAATATAACCTACAATTATATATATATTAGTTATAGTTTGCGAAGTATTCGGAAGTGCTTATTTTTATAATGCACTTCATGTAGTCAAACAAAGAGATAAGAGTGATGTGAGTCGAATTACATAAAAAATTGTAAAAGTGTTTTCAATATCATATCTCTCAGACCTGTGTTAAATATATAATATATCTATTTGAAAAGTGTACACTTGTTTCCATTTGTATGTGGAATAGTATTATAATTCTTTTGGTATAATTTACTTTACTCTTTGATTATAATATATATTTTTTTCCATATTCGTCCATCTCCTATTCAATGATGAACAGGCAAAGATCCTTAGACCGTACAGCTTAGTCTACGTTTAAACTTCTTCATATTTGCTCAAGTGATGAAGCCAAAGTCCACTATTCAATGATGGAACAGGCAAAGATCCTTGGACCGTACAGCCTAGTCTACGATTAAACTTCTTCATATTTGTTTAAGTGATGACGCCAAAGGCCAATTTATAATAATTAATTTGGAAAATCATGTTTTTTTTTTAAATGCCTTATATATGACCATGAATACAAGTTCTTCAGTTCAGTAGAAAACATTTTTAAATTGACAATTGATTCAGTGTTGTAAATCGCCTGCGCTAACGGTTTACGCTGGCGGGGCACCTGTGGAGGATGATAAGATGAGCATGAGGTCAGGTCATGTCAGCCCATTGTGCAAATTCACCAGGAATTTAACACGATGGTTTCCAGGGGGAACCGCGAGGATTCGTTTTTTTTTACTACATTCTAATAATTGGGAGCCTTTTACTTGTACCCCAAAAATATGAAACATCTATAAAAAACTAGTACGTATATGGACTCAGAACAAGCAGTAAAATATAACGTGATCATAAGCGGGCGGCGGGCGGCGGGCGGCGCGGGCGGCACAACGACGGCGAGTACTTGTGTGATGGTCGATGGTGATAAGATCTTGTATGGTAAGAATGCCGGTAAGGAGAAGGAATGTAGGAAAGATGGCACCTGGACTGGAGTAGGTTCACGCTTCACCGTGTCTGCTGTGCTGTCGTGGAACGTCGTGGGTCACCAATTTAGCGTCTATATTGTTACCGCTATTATTTATGTTATGTTCAGCTGGTACTGGCAGCGACAGGAGGAGGAAGATTAAATAACGAGTCCAGTGGTGGCTATGTATAAATGTAATATTCTTGTGGCATTTACAATAGTTGTATGGTTTTATTATATATATAAAAACGTATATTTAATGTATGAGAAAAGAAGCGATTGTGTCCCAATCTGACAAGCTTGTTATATCTTCTTCCACAATGTCACTAGGCAACGGTGTTGCCGCGCACTATCCGTAAATCGCCACAAATACAATCAAAAAGTGTATTTTATCTTCTTTGAAATGAATATGTTAATTTAATTATAAGGGAACACTGAATAGCTTATGTTACAACCCTATTGAGGCCGATTCTGGATTTGTATTTGGGCAGAATTTTGAGCCGTAGTTATTCTTGTGGGTCGGGGCGGGCGGGGGATGGTTGGAATTTAGACAACACAAACGTGCAGGAATTATGGAACTAGCAGGTCTACTCTGGAGTCCAATTCCAATATCAGGAAGATATTTTCTTCATAAATTAACTTCGGAAATTAAACAGTTTTTACTACCCCCACCACTCCACTCCTGACCGTTTTAGTTCCCATATAGTATTACGCAAATAGGATATGGTAAATATATAACGCCAAAAAACATCCGGAAAACTACGCTTGAAGCAAGTTTGTTATGGACAAAAATGGAATTGTGTATTTTTCACTTTGATGGGGTCCGGATACACAGTGCATTATCGCCGCGCCGTAAAAACGTGGTAACATTATTGCATAATTAGACTTCCAGCAAGATTTAGGGAAAATCCAAACGATCATCTGGCCACACTGTTTCTGTCACATGAAATGCTTCGGTTACTTTCGTCTTTGTGTAATGTTTATATGAAACTTATTATTGTGTTGTGTTATCATTGTCAATATAACCACTCAAATAAATTATATGTATCTCGTTTATTAACTGGACTTCTATGTATGGGTGCTTGATAACTTCAAATCATTGTCTGTTTTAATATTTAATAGTGTAGAAACTTTAGCTGGAATAGGCTATTGATTTGTACAAAATGAAGTTGTTTATCCTATTAATAAGTTTAGGATTATGTTGGGCAAGATATAAACATGTTCAAAACAATTACCAACCAGAACAAGTTCATATTTCTTTTGGAGGTGAGTTATATTTGTAGAAAGCAGCAAATAATATTAAAGAAAATGTTCTATATGGTATTATTTTATATTGTGTTATTTAATGTCAATATAAAATATTATTTATAGTTTACAAGTGCGCCAGTTTCACTGAGTCATAGTCTATTTAGTATAATGTTGTCTAACTTTATTGCACCTAGAAATTGTAACCAATTGTTACTGTTTATTATTACTAATAATGATTGTATTCTTATTATGAAGATCTAGCAACTGTGGTTTTTAGTCCTAGTTGTAATAATACTTAATCCTTGTCCTTACGAGGTTTTATGTAATGCTCCTTTCTTAACACCTTCAGTGGACAGGTGATTTGTCTTCTATTCCCAAATCCTATATATGAATAATGTTATGTACAAAATCAAGTTCTTTAAATGAGCTTTGTATAGTTTTTTATACCATTATGGTGTTAAATGTGCTTAGGGTTCATCTCAAACAGTTGTTTATAACATACTCCACTACTGTAACATTCTTTAATATATATGTATATTTTAAAGTAGTTAAAAAATTTCATGGAGCAAAATAAAAACAATTTTAAGAAGTTAAAATCAATTGACAGTTTTAAGTATAAATGACACAAATGTTTGAAAGCTTTAATTAACTTATTTTTCAGTTTGTATTTATTCTCAGTGTGCAATAAACAGTGTTATTATTATTATTATCATAGTTCAAAATGTAAGTGTTTTGTTAATGTTAACTGTGATTGTAAAACTGATTTCTAAATGATGTCAAATGGCCATCCTTAATAACCTGTTTGATTTCATTTTCTGCATTTATTTATTTGATTACATTAGTGTATATGATAGATTGATTTTAATTTAAATACCCCTAAATATGTACTATCTATTTGCAGTTATAGACCTCTGACTACAGCTGCTAAACTACAGAGGTAAGTTGCACTAACCTACCTCTGTAGTTTAGCAGCATCCTTTGTACTTACCTCTTCTTTGTCTGATGAAGCTGTAAAGGCCAGCAATGCCTAACAAAATAGAATAATTTAAAAAATTTATAAAACCTCCTAACTTTAGAATATTAACACAGACCTGATACTTGAAGTTTTAAAAATAGATAAACTACCAGGAAAATTGTGTTTGGACCCTTACTTTAGCTTATCGCAATGTTTAATTTTTACATGGTATCTAAAAATACTGTAATAAAATGATTCAGACTTCATACTAACATAAATATATGGTGTACCATAATAATTTAAAATTAAAATTATATTATTTTATTGTATATAGCAATGTAGCAATGATTGATATCTGGAAATTTGCAGTAGGACAAACAATATGCAGTAGGTACTTAATACATTGTAGATAATAGTTAGCTTGTTGTTATATTAAATAACTTTATAATTGCCTGTTATATATATTAGGCATTTACAGATAACATTAGCATAATCACTTGACATATGACATATACAATAAGTACATAATGAAATAAATATTTTGCTTCTTTAAAAACATGAATACAGTTTTTTATGATAGTTAAACTTCAGTATACATTATGTTAAGAAAAAATGCATATTATGAAGATATGCTAACTTGAAAAATGATAGCCGTGATTATGAATATTTATTGTATCATATCCACAAAAAATGGTGTAACTTTATACTCTGGACTTCTGCTCTCTAAATAACCAATTTGGTTACCATAACCTTAGAGCCCTTATTATGTATTACTATATGACTATAACAATAAAATTTAAATACTTATATATGTATGTAATATCTTGCATATGATTCCCAAACATTAATTTTGTTTTGTAACATGCATCATGCATTGCCTAATAATAAGCAATAAAATATTTGTTTCTAGAAAAAACCAATGACATTGTCATCACTTGGTCTACCTTTATAAATACGGGATCAGAAGCAAAATATGGAAAGAATCAGATGAACAAACATGCCAGTGGCTCCAGCAAACTATTTACAGATGGCGGCAAAATGCACAGGAAAGAATGGATACATCGCGTATTGTTACCAGATTTGGAATTCAACACACGTTATAGTAAGTTACAAGTTCTAGCTTTACTAATACTGTAAAAAAGATTACAGACTTCATGAAAAAACTTGCAACACATCTGTAATTTTCTTGGTGGTTCCTAGTCTCCATTTTCTTGACTGGCGGTAATCCTTTAACATTAGGGCACCCATAAAATTATTTAAATGATTAAATATAGGTCTCTATATTGTACTGCATAGTTATTGACCAAAAATCTCTATAATTGAAGTCTACCTTTATGATTATTAAATTAATCAGGAACTAAGTAATATTTATAACTCTACGGTTCAAGAAGTAATAGATACAAGTTTTAATTGGTTATTTAAAAATAAATAACTATAGAAATACTAGCTTCTTTGTCGGGTTTAGCACACTGTATGGTTTTTAAAAAACCTATTAAAGAAGTAAATAGGATAGTTCTAATGTAAATTATACACTATACAGTGTACCGAGTGGGGTCTGACCACGGCTGGTCGGAAATGTTCTCGTTTAAGACCCCTCCTGCTGGCGAAGATTGGGTGCTCCGCATAGCAATATATGGCGATATGGGCGTCAACAATTCAATGGTTAGTGAAATGTTTCTATTTATTATTATTAGCTGATCGTATCTCGTTATTCTCACTGCACACTGCTTATTCTCATCCTACACTGAAACATAACTTATGCTTTACGGTTGAAACAGGCAAGACTGGGAACGCCACAATTGTACTGTCTGCTTGGTAAAAATGTCATCTGATTTAAATAATTTTGAAACAGGAAATTGTTAAGGATGCTAATTCATCATCATTATCTGCTTTTTGTGTATCCCATTAATTTAGGGTTAGCATAATATGATTTTCTCTTTCATTCGTCCCAGTTATCTCGTTATTGACTCCCTTTCTTGCCATATCTTCCATATAGTCCATCTATCTTTTTTTTTATTTATCGAAATGTTAAGGATACGAATTCATCATTTACTTTATACTGTATCCGTAAGTTGATATTATAGAAACTATAGTGTGTGACGGTATATCAGCCACTAATACTTTGCTATGCAAGCTGTGGGTATGAAAAATCGACGTTGGCCGATTCTCAGACCTATTCGCTATGAATACAAAGTTTCATAAAAATTGGTAAACCCTTTTCGGAGGAGGTTGGTAACAAACACCGTGACACGAGAATTTTGTATATTACACTGATTAGGATCAGAAGCATTGTGTATTTAGAATGTAATGTAGACAACAGAAAGGGAACAAGTGGCCAATTTAATAGTATATTTTTTTACAGTCGTTACCGTACTTGAAGGAAGACGTGGCGGAAGATAAATACGACATGATCCTCCATGTGGGTGATTTTGCATACGACATGAACGAGGAGGAGGGCCGAGTTGGTGACCGATTTATGAATATGATCGAGCCGATCGCCGCTCGAGTGCCATACATGACCTGCCCGGGGAACCATGAAAGTGCCTAGTAAGTATATCAATAGGTGACCGAACTCTTAATCAGTAAATATCTAGTAATAATAAGAGTGTCTATGCATGTAATGCCCATACAATGACAGACGATTATTGAGACATATAAGACTGTAGACAAGATCATGGTCTGGTAAATTTTTACCTTAAGTTTAAGTCACAAGTCGTCATCGTTTCCTGCCATTACTTTTTGCCATATTTACAATTATTATTATTACATGACACAACACTACATACCTTTTATCTCATTTTGATATGCAGTGTTTCACTAGTTTGAAACACTGCATATAAATATATAGTAACTTGAAAAATGTTTCGTATATAATGTGTAAATATTATTTTGGTATATTTATATTTACAGCAACTTCACACATTACTCGAACCGTTTTACGATGCCGGGTCAGGAATCGAACCTGTACTATAGCTTCGACGTGGGGCCAATTCACTTCGTGTCCATCTCAACTGAGGTGTATTACTTCACGCAATACGGAATCAAATTGATAAGTTACCAGTATGAGTGGCTGAAGAAAGATTTGGCTGAGGCCAATTCTGCTGCTAACAGGTAGGTGTAAAGTATAATAGATAGAATAGAATACTGTTACATTTACTAAATGATCTATGATCGTTTTCTAATTTGGCTCCAAAATAACAACAATTTCATGAAATCGATATTTACATATTTTATTTGTGCGTTTTTGTGGTTCATGGCTTTCATTAATAAAAAATAATACAGTAATTTCGAGTCAAATTAATAATACATATGAAATTTATTAATTTGACTCATAAAATCGACCCTATTAAGAGTGATGAGATTTTGAAAGTATTTTAAATTTACAGTCAAAATGAAAAAATGATATTATATAACGTGACTTAGGAAATGACAGTTATTTAGCACACCGCCTCACTTCCGATAGTCGAAGGTTCGATTTCTAACATGGTACAAACATGTATTTATGTGTTTGCTTTAGTTATCCTGTAGCCATAACACAAGTCTTGAGCTTTGCTTAGCTTGTGTTGTGATGGGGTTCTTTTTTGTTGAGATGTGTTAAATAAGAATAATATGTATGTTTGCAGAATAATTGTATTGTCTCTTTTTATAATTTTCTTTACAAGAATGTCAATCTATATTTGACAACAACTATTATAAAAAGCGTAATCGGTGAGGAGGCCGTATATACACCTAACATCCTCCCGCAGACATGAAGTACTCATCAGATAGCTTATAGTAAATGAGCTTCTAGAAGGTAAAGCCTCTGAAAGGGGCGTACGAAAACATCAGAGTTCGTCTTAATCTTGGCTACTCTGGCTATCCCTTCCCACCAGGGGTACCATCTTTCTACCCAACCTCCCCTCCACCAAGTAGTGTCCGGGGGCTTAATTTTCCAGCTGATATGCTTGTCTTGAACCAGATAAAGTAGAATTACACTACTCGATGGTAATATTATTAAATGTCTAAAATTTCTATTTTCCTCTTTACTCAGAATTAGTTTAGTTTTCATTCTTATCATACCCTTTTCATCTGTAAAAATAGTCTTCTTTTTCAATTTCTTAAACTCGTCATTTGCTTGAAAATATTCTCTTTGTATAATCATTACTAATTTATTTTCCACTTCTTCATAATCATCGGATGTCATAATTGTATCTAGTTTTTGTTCTTCCTTCTTTTCTTTAAAGTCGTAAGTAATCTTTTCATACTTCAAAGAATGTTTCCTTACGTCTTTTTCTATCTTTTCATCTCCTTCGTATTTCTTACTCATATCCGATGAAATATATTCCATTGTCGGTTCATTTACTTCTTTTATATAACTTTTAAAACCGAACTTGTCCAACTCGATTTTTTCATCACTGTCAACTTCTCGTTTAAAAAATTGAAGTAGTTCTCCAAGTTGGTTACGTCTCTCTCTCTTGCACGTAAAATCTCCTCAGAGAGAGCGGATTCCCTCACATTGGAATCAAACCTTTTCAGCTCAATCTTTGGTAATGTGAATCGTCTCTTCATTATATTATTTATTGATTCTCCATTTACGCTCATATTTTCATCTGGTGTTCTTGCACTTATATCCTGTCTCTCAGATGATGCGACTGGTAACTGAGAGGCAGGTTGACGTTTATTCTGCTGTTCTATAAGTTCTTGATACATATTATCTAGAGTAATCCATTTAGTCAAAAATTCATCTGCCGTTTCACAATCTGCGTAAAATTCATCTTCATTTGTTTCGTCGTCATTCACCCATTCATTGTAAATATCTTTATCTACTTTAAATAATTCGTCTGCTATACCTTTAAATATTGAATGACACGCCTTTATTTCCGCAGTATTTGGTATGGGTTCCTTTAATAATTCTGATAACTGGTTCCCAGTCTTTGTGAATAATCGGCGTAAATTTGTTCTTAATTTATTTAATCTCAACATTTTTCTTCTAAGTCACGGTCGCCAGATGTTGTGGTGGGGTTCTTTTTTGTTGAGATGTGTTAAATAATAATAATATGTATGTTTGCAGAATAATTGTATTGTCTCTTTTTATAACATATTTAGACTGATGTCAATCTATATTTGACAACAACTATTATAAAAAGCGTAATCGGTGAGGAGGCCGTATATACACCTAACAGCTTGGAACTAAATGGACCTGTGTAAATGTCCAGGATTATTTTCTTAGGCTGTTGTTTTATATTAACTCTGTTTATAGGAAGAGTCGCCCATGGATAATAGTATTTGGACACCGTCCGATGTATTGCAGCAACTCTGATGACATCGACTGCAGTTTAGAATACACTAGGACTGGCTTGTTCGGATTGTTTGGTAAGGGAATAATTACCTATTTATAAAACAATCTATCTTCATGCCGGCTCCGGTAACCGCTGATTCTACTTTTTTAAAATGTTTTGTAAACTAATTTAAAAAATACTGCCCAGTTTTTAAAATACTTTCATCTACTACACGTTAGGTGTTGTTAGTAGATGCCCGTGAATTTTATAAATTACATGTTAGTTTCCGTTGTTGGAGCCCCATGATCTCACATTATGTTTTGAATACACATTAATTGCAGTTGTTGGGTTCTCATGATCTCCTATGATGTTCTAACTCCATGTAAGTCTCCATATTAGATCACAAAGACCTCCCGTGATCTTCTGATATCGATATAATCAGTAATATTTATTATTTACAGGTTTAGAACCCCTACTGAAGGAGTTCGGAGTGGACCTCGTAATATGGGCGCACGAGCACTCGTACGAACGCACTTGGCCGCTGTACGACACCAGGGTCTACAACGGCTCCTACGAACACCCATATGTGAACCCCAGGTATGCTATAAGTACAATTTACAACTAAAATGGCGGTATCCATATATTGCGTCACGCGTTAAAGGAATGGGAAGGGTAGACAAAGTGTGATATTGTCTGCTTATACCTACACGTACGCTCTTTCACGCGCAAATTGGCTTTCACGTAGGAAAATATGAATGACAAATAGAATGATTTCTCGTTCTTTTATTAGCTGGCGGCGCGCACAGTCTTTTGAAGAGTCAGATCGCACATTCTCACATATTTCAAATGTGCGTGTTTTAGCGCCTTTTTTTAAATAATTATTTAACATTTCAAAATAGTGGATGACTTTGGAGCAAACACATAATTATAGAGTTACTAGCTACTCGCCCCAGCTTCGCGCGGGTGTACTTGTATTATACATATAAACCTTCCTCTTGAATCACTCTATTTAAAAAAACCGCTTCAAAATCCGTTGCGTAGATTTAAGCTTACATAGGTAAGGACAGACAGCGACTTTGTTTTACACTATGAATTAAGTAATAATGATTGATAACTTTTATAAATATTAAATGTCTTAGGAAAATTAAATTAATGGATAAAAAATAAAATTTTAAAAGAATGTGAAATTACATAATGTGGGCTAAAGAGTAACCACAAAAAGGCTTTCCCACGCTCATGATCGTGCGTAAAAGAACACGTCATGTATAGGCAGTTATTCTGTGCCGTGGCAAGAGGTGGGAGGTGTGATAAATGTCACATCTTTTTATTTTATTAGTTATTTGAAATAACCAAATTTGTTTGAATAAACTGTTTGATTATGTGATTTTATTTAATAAATTTTGTATAATATTGTATATATAATATTGTATAATATTTCTCCTTTTTTATATTAATAATTGACAAATTTAAAATGATTAAAACGTGTAAGAGAGGGGACATATCACAAATTTAAAAAAATCGTAAAGGTTATCTGACGTAATTTATGGATTATCCCTAATTATATACCGAACGCTTATTAAAAGGCACATATCCATGGACGACAAATACTTTTATATAAATGAGAACATATATAATGTATAAAAATACATAACAGTAGTTACCTACGTCTATAGGAGATAAACCTATTTACATTACACAATACACAGACTTATAAAGCAGTGACACTCGAAGTATAGATATATTCACGACATTGTATAAGTTTCTCTCAGAAGCAAATGCAAAATTGAATGTAATTTTTAAAACCTTTGCGGATGGCTGTACTTACCATTGTGTGGGCCGCCAGTGTTACTTTTCGTTTTAAATAATAGAAAATTATTATAATGCTTGCTTTTACTATGATATGAAGAATTGCCTGAAATTCATATGAGAAAAGGAGATCGAAAAGGCGATCGAAACCTAGGTAATTGACAACAAAAGGTAATTACCAAATTAATTTAATACACGTGTATGTTTTGTGTTATCCTGAAGTCTTAAATAATTATTAATAATTCGACTTATTCCATACCGTCATTCATTCGATTTTTGAAGTGTATTTACACTGCATAAATCGATTTTACAGAAGGATCCAATATGGAAACCTTACTAACGGTATGGAGTATGATGCATAGTTATTAATTATTTATTAGTTTGTGAGATTTGTACAACATATATATTTGTAATAGTAGCCTATGTATGTGTCTTTGGAATAAAGCATGTTTCAATAGAACAATGAAATATATTTTCAAATCAATGCAGTAGTTCCACAGTATACATTCCATATACTTAATGCACATAAACTTAGTATATTACATCAATGCACAAAGAGAATACAAAATAAATGTAACACTTTACAAACTATTTGCATGCACCTATTATTTTAGCCGTTGATAGCTTTCAAGACTATTTTTATTTTTGTCTAATAATATTAATTTTATTCAAATGTTTCAGGGCTCCAGTACATCTTATAACGGGCTCCGCTGGTTGCAGAGAGGGCACGGATCCATTTAAAAGTAGGTATAATATTATAGTATAGAACATTCTTTTTGTAATGCGCTAATTGATATGATGATTATTTAACACTGTTGAAAGACAAATTTATATCATGGTTAAAATTTCTATATTACTAAAATTTTGATAAAGATCGAAACAAAAGTAAAGGTACTTAAAATATTTTTTTATTAATTTGAAAAGCAAATAAATTAATGGTTCACTTGATGGTAAGCGGTAAGTATCTCCTATGTACATGAACAGAGGACTAAGATGTCATGCGTTTTCTGTGATTTTGTGAAGTCAGTCAGTATTGTGAGAAATGTCCCAGGAATGAACTACAATAATTTCCAAAACATATGGACGTCAAACTTGACAGATATAATATTAACAATCCCTAGAGCCCATTACTAACAACACCTATCCCCTTAAAAAGACGAGGTAACAATGTGTTCAAGTAATATCTGCCTTGAATGAATATAATATATGTATATAAAATTTGTTAACAGAGCCACCCTTGAAATGGTCAGCGTTCAGATCCAGCGAGTATGGTTATACCAAGTTCTATGCTTACAACAAAACGCATATACACGTGGAACAGGTAACATCTATTGACTGCTATGCTATGATGCAGCTTTTTGTATATGCATTAATGCTAACATGAAACTTAGCCTCATACAAAATGAAAATATATGATAAATTCACGTACCTACTCAATTTGGCTCTTTACTCTGTACTGATATACATAGTATTCTGTTCGATTTTCATAGGTCAAAATCTCGTACATACATGTGTGGGTGAAAAATCGTCGTACAAACGCCAAAAATCTGTTACTTGTATGTGGATTCCCGTACGGATGCCTTCCCTGATACGCATTATTTTCTATTCCCTTATAAATTAAACTTTGAAGCCTTTACGACAAAGTGGTCTTCACGATACTAAATTTCAATTGTAATTTTTATAAAACGTTTAAAATACATTCTATATTTATTTTGAGACTAAATAAATTATTTTAAATGCCTGCTGGATACACAGGTGAAGTGTTTTTATTTTAAATAATAAATGGCGAACAATTTATGAACCATCTGATTTACATGTAAATCTTGGCAATACACATAATCAATCTGGTTGGGTGACGCTTGTAATAAATACCCCACATGCATTGCCATTCTGGACGACTAAGTCACTTCATCATTGATACTTTCATAACCTGTAACTTCACTGTCATATATCAACCTCAAACCAAAATATAGCAAGCTAGAGGTACTCATGCAGACAACTTTGTACAAAGTGTACTTGGGTAAAATTTTTATATAGTCTTCTGGCTTTTTCAGGTGGATGTGGAAAATCCTATAGACTCGAAAAACCCACGTGTCATGGACCAGTTCTGGCTCATAAAACACCTTCATCAGCCATATATATAAATATACAATATTATTAAATTAAGACAATACTTGCTTTTCAGTAAAGCTTTAATAGTTATACGAACTCAGCTTATAAATATATTGGTGTTTGTAAAAGAATCTCAAGGTAATGAATAACTAGACATTTAGATTGTTGAGTAAAACTTAAAAGTTAGATTAATCATTGATAGTTAATGGTTAATACGATATATTACTTCGTATGTAAAGCATTCGCTTACACATACCGAAGTTTTTAATCTAATTCTTATGACTAATAATGTAACGGAGTAATACACCGTTTATTGTTTCATAAAACCAAAGATTTTTTGTGATTTTGTATAATGTTAATTTGATTAGATTTTTTTAATATGAAAATAATGTCGGCAAATTATCTGTCTAAATAGAGTTACTAAGACTAATCTTGATTTAATATGTTACGTTAACAGCCTTTAAATACAATTTGTATTTGTCAAATATTTTGTGAATTTCCCAGTTAATAATGACATTAATTCAATGTTTGGAGTCATAAGTATGATACATATCTATATTAGCAGTTATAGAAGTTATTTAGTTTTTAAAATATGAATTGTAATATTATTTTCATATTAATAAAATAAATACCGCCAGCAAATTGTTCAAAAATATCAACCCTTCAATTATATTAATTGCTATTTGTCGTTTTAAATTGGCAAAATGAAATCAGAACATTTAATGTAACATGTAACATTTATTTATTACCCGTTATTTTACAAAACATATTGAACTAATTTTACCTTTTAAATATATTTTGTAGCAAGTTTTAATTTAGAAAGTATGATTTATTCCTTCCTAACTTAGAGTAATGAGTTTTTTGTTAATGATAAAATGATACCCGATCGATGAACCGATGTATATTGGTCAAGCCATAAAAAAGCGCGATATGTCCCCGGGGAGATTACGCGGGGCGTCGGAATACAAAACACTGATTTTTAACGCCGTATCAACCGCACGCGCATCTTTAGTTTATTTTCATAGCGTTCCGTATTATTAATGTCGGGCTAAAGCGTTGTAATATAAAGTTCTAGTAATAAACGCATTGGAGAATCTATAACAGTCCAACTAACACTCCCTGACGCCTCCAAATTGGTCCTTCAACCACTACTTGGACGACTGGAATTTTATTGCGACGCAAGCAGCATCTACGGCGCACTGGCTTCTTTCAACGGCGCATTGGCTTCATTCAACTGCGCACTGGCTTCTTTCAACTGCGCACTTCAACGTTGCTGTTTAGTCTTCCGACCAGAATTCTATTAACGCACTAACTGCACGAGAAGAACAAGAAGAGGATTACTTATATGGATAGTGCATAAAGACCGTGAGATCGTTCCATTATCTTATCTTTACACATCCATCCTCATATCATCTTCACTTTAACTTCTCCATTATCATAATCATTCCATCATAATTACCATTCATATAATTATCATTTTCATTACAAACCATAAAAGGTTATTGCCATTTATTCATTAGTTATTTGCAGTCATAGTATATATATGCGTGATTCCATAGTGTACTGCGTAGTACTGCATAATAATTTAGATAGTGATTGATTAGCAAATCTTATTATTATTTTAATCACACACAGTCATTTAACGAATTAATCACAATCAATATCATATTCATAACCAT